ACAACTGAGCCACCCAGGCGCTCCTATATACAGGAATTTCTAAAATGTACTTTATGTGCCACCTTCAAAACAGCTTTGTCTTTCTTTTCACTGACTTTCACTTCACACTGACTCTTCCAATTGCGTTTACTCAACGCACTATCTGCCCAGCACTGTGCTAAGTACATATATCTTACCACATTCAGTCTTGGCCTCCCCTACTGTGGGATCTTGGGCAAGATATCAAATTTTCATAAACTTTTATTTTCTTTGCCTGTAAGTGAGGAGGATCATAATGTCCACTTTATAGGGTTATCATGAGGATAATTAATTGTAGTTCGTACCATTAATTATTAGAAAACACACAAAACCTTTTTTTAATTACAAAATGTCCAAATATCTGATATAATTATTTTACAAGATGTCAGTGTAGTAATTTATGAAAAGATGAACATTTCTTATAAAAACACTCAACATACAGAACTGACTTACTAATCTTATTTATTATGGCTTAATCTAACTGAAGTTTTTTGTGGTTCATGTAATTAACAGCAGTATAACAGAATCAATAAAACTGTTATAATGAATGTCCTCACAGAAGTGTCCACTTACAGGGTGTATATATATGATGTTATATATAGGTAGGATAAATGAGATGATGGCCCCCTTGGAAGGTAGTGAGCCCAAGGAATCTTTACTTCAAAATCTATTCAATTTTACAAGAATATCAGATTGCTTTGGCTTGACTTACTAGCTCTAATAATGAGGTTTATTCCACCCTAGGGACTTAGTATGCTTCATTAATAATGAAAACTCTATGAAGAAATGCTATTCTGACAACCAAGATTAGAGCCTGGAAAGCCCATGAACCAGAAAGCATGGGACCTGAACGCTCAGTGAGCTCTGCAACAGACCAAGGAGACATAAGGCAGCCTGTCTGACCTCTCTGAGCTCATACTTCTCCTGAGTTGATAATGTCTGTCAGCATCAAAATTCTGTGCATCTTTATTTTTTAACCTCATAGCATCCATGTGAAAGTAACTGGCCAATAAATCATATTTTCATTTGGAGTGCAAAGCCTAAATTATATGCCCCAAAGCGACAGGTAAACAAATTATGGCTTAACAATAATTAGATTCGATCTCTTCCCAAGTTCTAATCTTCCGTTATTCTGGCAGGAGGGTGAGATCTAGGAATTGCAGATTCTCAGAGGTTTGTGGCAGCCAACAATTCAACTCAATTCAACAATATTTATTCAGTACCAGTATGTGCCAAGTACATAATAAATTCTTTAGTTTCTGAGAGTCTGTTGCAAGATACATATGATCAGTAACAATCAATTGAACAACTATGTGTACAGGATACTATACTAGGCCCTTAGCAAGGGTGGTCCTCAGAGACTATAGTATATAGAGGAAAATGCAAAACATCCATTTGTAAAATAAGTGATCAAGTGTCAAATGGCTGACACAGACAGGAAGTGGCATATGATTTCAGAGACAGGAAACATCACTGAAAGTCCAGATAGACTTCCTGGAGGGTGAGATATGAGTTGAACTTGAAGGACACTAAAAAAACAAAGAGGTGGGAAAGTGTTAAGTCTATTTAGATGGTATTTATGTCCTTCCCAGAATTTTTAGCATTAGGTTTATTTTTATGCAGGAAATACATGTGTGTTGTCTTTACTCAATTTTAAGTACCACGACAGCAGAAACCATACATAATATTTACATGATTCAGAACAACAGATATTTATGGAGTGCCTACTATATGTCAGGTTCTGTACTGGGTAAGCTTTGGAGGGGAGGGAAAGGTAAAGAAGGAAAGACAAAGAAATTAGAGATATAACTCAGAAGTTAGCTGAGGTCCCTTTGCCTCTCTCAAAGATCTGCGTAAATTTGGTTTGAACCCCGAACTCTTCACTGGCCTATGCAAGTACATGGCCTTTCCGAGAGATGAAGGGACACTTCCATTTCTTCACATCTAATCTGTCCTGCACAATGTTGATATGAAACTCTGTCTCTTCCCACTTTTCTCATCAAAGGCACTCACACAAAGCTGCCTGGGTTTGGTGGTCATTGCTGGAGATGTAGGGAAGGGGAGGGAGGAATGACAGCTCAGAGGCACTGCTAGCCACTCTCTCCCTTTTCCCCCTGCCCTCCCTTCTCTCTTTTCCTCGTGTTCTTCATCCCAGATTCCCCCCAAGGATTGCACATTCTCTCTGTAGTACCCACAACAAGTGGCCCCTCCTCTAACATCCAAGTCCTCGAGTCTCAACATTCTGCCTTAAGCTCTCCAACCAATTCTGTTATACCCAGCTTTCCTAACCTAGATGCTTCTAGCTCCCAGAGAAATTTTGGCACCAGCTATTAAGAGGTAGTGTTATTTTCTGGGGTGCCTGGGTGGCTCAGTCGGTTGACTGTCCAACTCTTGATTTTGGCTCAAGTCATGATCTCATAGTTCATGGGTTCAATCCCCACACCAGGTTCTGCACTGCCAGCATGGAGTCTGCTTGGGATTCTCTCTCTCCCTTCTCTCTGCCCCTTCCTTGCTCACTGTTTCTTTCTCTCTGCCAATAAAATAAAATAAACTTTAAAAAAAGATAGTGATATATTCTCCACCTTGTTACAAAGAGGTAGGTGCGCTGGTAACTCTAAGAGAAACCCAAAGTGCTGTGGGGGGACAAAAGCAGGAGAGAATGCAGGAGGGGCATCATGGCGGGTTCCTTGGCCCCCTCCAACTGGTCTTTCTCTTTCCGCCATATTCACACAGCATGTACTATGGGCATCATTCTCTGGAAATCTGTCCTCTGCTGCCTTCTATTGCTATTTTCCTTCCATTTGTCCCGGTATCATGTCCCTGACCAGATATTTTGTGGCTCCAACACAGCATCATTTCTCTTTCCTCCCCAAAAGTCTTATGGGTCATGGGCCTCCCTGAATGTTCTGTTGAGTCCCATCTTGCAGGGGCCTAGTCTCACAATACCTTCCCCAAATTTCCCCTCAAAATACCACATGGCAGGAATTTGTTTTGATTAATATAAGTAAACATACCTCTAAGAATGTATTGAGTGCATAACCAACTTGTTTGAGATGGCTAGAGCCGTCCATTCGTGTTACACCAAGGAGGAGCTGGAAAGAACTGACCTGTACTGAGGCCCCCCCAGGGGCCAGCCATCTGCTGCAATTCTCACGGTTGTCTTTTCAGGTGAGATGAGGTGATTTGCCAAAGGTCACCCCACTACAGAGCAGGCGCTAGAATCTTAATGCAGGAATACGTGGCTTCAGAGCCCCTGCTCTTTTCACTACACCACATCTCTAAAATAATAATGCTCCTTTAGCGACATTCCAAGTCTAATTATTAAAAAGAAGGGCAGTTAGGGGCGCCTGGGTGGCTTAGTCAGTTAAGCGTCCGACTTTCGCTTAGGTCATGATCTCGCGGTTCGTGGGTTCGAGCCTCACATCGGGCTCTGTGCTGACTGCCAGCTCAGAGCCTGGAACCTGTTTCAGTCTGTGACTCCCTCTCTCTCTGACCCTCCCCTGTTCATGCTGTCTCTCTCTCTTTCTCCTAGAAATAAAATAAATAAATAAATAAAAGAAAAAAAAAAAAAGAAGGGCAGTTATTCACTGGGATACAACCTGAAGACCACCCCAATGTTAGAGTCCTGCAACAGTAGGGAGAAAATTGATTCCATGACCTTGAACAAGTAGTTTCATCTTTCTGAGCTTCAGGTCACTCATTTGTACACACAATTTTACAGAATTAAATTATACCTAGAAATACATACATATTTAATATAAAGTTAATTTCATGTATAAATTTAACACTGCCTGGCAAGAAAGGTTAAGTAGAATTCTTGCTTCCTTTTACAGAAGGTGTACAATGAGAGTTGAGAGGAATATCAGTCTGTTTAGTTGGGCAGATGTTTTGGAGTTACCACATTACGTTATTTGGGAGGGGCATTTGCTGACTTATGCAGGAGCAGATTAATCATTAATTCAACGTCACCCCAAAGCAACCACAATCCTTGATGATAAGTTGACATGCCATCAACATTCTTCAAAGCCCTCCTCCAAAATAGCTATGACCGTCTCCTAAACAAGGTGCTTTCAGATGGTTGTTATCAGCCCAGGTAGGAGGTAAGAGGGTTTGAGGTATGAACATTATAAAATACAGGGAAGTTTGGAGGCTGGTTTGGTGAGATGGAACCACTCCTCCTAATGCCTCAGCTACACCAAGTCTCACTGGTTCATGTTTCTAGGAGGACAGGCTTGGCTGTGAATCAGAACTGGGTTTTAGCTCTGCCTATTTCCAGTTGTGTGACTTTGAGTTATAAATCTCAGTTTTCTCATCTGTAAAACGGGGATGATGCTACTTTCTGTCTTCTAAGGTTGTTGTGAAGATTAAGTTAAATAATGAATTTAAAGCACCTACTACAGTACCTGGCACATTGTAAGCCCTTAAAAAGTTGGTTATTATTTTATTAGCAGGGACCAGGGCCTTGAAGTCCTAAGATACAGGGCAGTGGAAGAGGAAAGGAAAGAAAGTCTTCCTGTTGCTGAAGGATCAAGTTTAATGTCACAGTTGAGCATAGAAAGTCTGTCATAATCTGGCTCCAAACCTCTGCTTCATCCTTTGGTTATCTGCACACACTCTGCAAAAACCTCCAGAGCTCCTCCAGGCAAACAGAACTCATCCTTTAGTTTCCCATAGTACTTTGGATATACGTTTGTGCTTTTTCTTATCATAACTTATTCTCATTATTCATTTGCATCTCTATCTCCACATGACCTGACCCCATCCCAGGCTGTGAATTTATGAACACTAGGCCCATCTAGCATCTCCGTATGTGCAGCCACAGGCATTCTGTAAGTCATGATTGGTTGGATGGATGGATGGATGGATGGGTGGAGAGATGGGTGGATAAAGAACGCAGGACAACACGGTGACTCAGTCAAGCATTTAAGAGTAGGTGCCTAGGAGACAGGGTAAGACAGTCTTTATTTCCTTCATAAATTTCCTTAAGCCCAGGTCTAAGCAGAAGTGTAGAGGGCATGACCTTTCCAGAATCATTTGCCCAGTGAGGGCGGTTGTGTCATCTATGTGTGCCTTCCAGGGAAAGCAGGACTGGCTGGTGATTCCTGGCAGGGCCAATATCAAGCAGAGGACCTTAGCACCCACGGAGCCAAGGCAGGATGATGTCTCTAAGTTTCCCTGTAGCCGTCAAGGTTAGTATGTTAAGCAAGTAGGAGCAGCAAGTCCTTCCAGGTGTGGCCAGTTGCCAGCCGGGCAAATAGACTTGCGGGCAAGGACCATCCTCGCTGTGATTATATTCACTATAAACAATGATGCAAGATCTAAAATTAGAAAGTGATTTCCACAGAGGATAGACCATCTGAGGATAGCATTAAATATACAATATTTCAGAACACAAGGCAATAGAGAGGGAGATTATAGAGATTGACTTTTCAGGACTCATTCTATTTTCATTTATTTTATTTTTGTTAAAGGTAACGGAAAATGATAATATTTATTGATTGACAACCTATTATGTACTTCACCCTTAAAAAAAAAACCTGGTGGGCTGGAGTCAGCTCCCACTGGCACGTGAGAACAGACCGTGTACATGTCTCTCCAACTCCATCTGCGCCTTAAAATCCATCACGGCAGGAGTAGTTACACCATGGAAATTGGCAAACACTACAAACCAGGGTTTCTCATCTCCACATCCTCTGAGAGCTGGTTGTTAAACATTTACCAGCACACCACTGGATTTACAATGAATGATCCCAAATAATTCTCCTAACACTCCCATTTTACAGAAGGGGAAATCACGTTTAGAGAAGACAAATGACAAAATAATTTACTACAAACTTTTTGGTAGCAGAAGCAGTATTAAAATTCACACCATCTGCCTCCAACGTTGATGCACTTAATCATGATGGAGAGAACACGTCCTAATTCATTCTATAAGATCAACATTACTCCAATACCAAGAGCAGATAAAGACATCATAAGAAAAGAGAATTACAGGCCAATATCCCTCACGAATGCAAAAAGCCTCAACAAGATACTTGGAAACCAAATCTAACAGCATATTAAAAGGATTATACACTATGCCAGGTGGGATTTTTCTCAGGAATGCAAAAGTAGTTCAACATAAGAAAATCGGCGCGCCTGGGTGGCTCAGTCGGTTGAGCATCTGACTTTGGCTCAAGTCATGATCTCACGGTTTGTGAGTTGGAGCCCTGAGTAGGGCTCTCTGCTAGGGGCTTGGAGCCTGGAGCCTGCTTCAGATTCTGTGTCTCCCTCTCTCTCTGCTGCTCCCCTGCTTGCAATCTCTCTGTGTGTCTCTCAGAAATGAACAAGCATGAAAGAAAGAAACAAAGAAGGAAGGAAGGAAGGAAGGAAGGGAGGGAGGAAGGAAGGAAGGAAGGAAGGAAGGGAGGGAGGGAGGGAGGGAGGGAGGAAGAAAAGAAAAAAGAAAGAAAGAAAATCACTGGGGCACCTGGGTGGCTCAGTGTATTAAGCATCCAACTTCTGCTCAGGTCATGATCTCACAGTTCGTGGGTTGGAACCCCACATTGGGTTCTGCACTGAAAGCTCAGAGCCTGCTTCAGATTCTGTGTGTCTCTCTCTCTGTCCCTGTCATGCTTGTGCTTGCTTGATTTCTCTCTCTTTCTCTTTCTCTTTCTCTCTCCCTCTCAAAAATAAATAAAAACACATTTAAAACCAAAAAAAAAAAAGAAAATCAATCAATGTAATAAACCACATTAATAGAACAAAGGTAAAAAAAAATCTCAGTTATGCAAAAAAGGCATTTGACAACACCCAACACTCTTTCGGGATAAAAACACTCCAAAACCTAGGAATAAAAGGGAACTTTTCTAACACAATAAAGGGCATTTATGAAAAACCCACCGCTAGCACCTTCGCCAGTAGTAAAAGACTGAACGCTTTGCCTCTAAGAGCAAGAACAAGACAAGGATGCATGCTTCCACCACTGCTATTCAACACCATACTGGAAGTTCCAGCTAAAGGAAGCGGACAAGAAAAATAAAGTGCAAAAAAAATTGGCAAGAAAGAAATATAACTAACTCTCTTCACAGATGTCATGATCCTATATATAAAAAAGATCTCAAAGCATCCACAAGAAAGCTATTAGTGAACCCATTCAGCAAAGTTGCTGTTCACAAGATCAAAATACAAAAATCAGTTGTTTCTACACATCAGTAATGAACAATTCAAAAGGAAATAAGCCAATTCCACTAACATGAAAGTAGTATCAAAAAGTATAAAATACCTAAGAATAAATTTAACCAAGGAAGTAAAATATGGAACACTGAAAGCTCTAAGACAATGTAAGAAGTTAAGAGACCTAAATACAGGCATACCTCATTTTATTGCACTTCACTTTATTGCTCTTCACAGATAACATGTTTTTCACAAATTGAAGGTTTATGGCAACCCTGCAGAGCAAGTATATTGGTACCATTTTTCCAACAACATTTGCTCATTTTGTGTGTCTGTCATAGTTTGGCAGTTCTCAAAACATTTCAAACTTTAAAATTATTATTATATTGATATTATATTAATAATGTATTAATATTATTATTACTATTTGAATTGCTGCAATCTTGTGATAAGACGTTAACAGATGAGAAGTTGCTTCTTATGGATGAGCAAAGGAAGTGGTTTCTTGAGCTGGAATCTACTACTTTCTAAAAAATTTTTTAGGGGCGCCTGGGTGGCTCAGTCGGTTAAGCATGCGACTTCAGCTCAGGTTATGATCCCACGGTTCGTGGGTTCGAGTCCTACATCGGGCTCTGTGTTGACAGCTCAGAGCCTGGAACCTGCTTCAGATCCTGTATCTCCCTCTCTATCTGAGTCCCCTGCTCACATTGTGTCTCTCTGTCTCAGAAATAAATCTTAAAAAATGTTTAATAAAATAAAATAAAATTTTTAAAAAATGTTTTGAGAGAGAGAGAGAGAGAGAGAGACAAAGACAGAGTACAAGCAGGGGAGGGGTAGAGAAAGAGGGAAACACAGAATCTGAAGCAGGTTCCAGGCTCTGAGCTGTCAGCACAGAACCTGATGTGGGGCTTGAACTCACAAGCCGTGATATCATGACCTGAGCTGAAGTCAGACACTTAACCGACTGAGCCACTCAGGCGCCTCTACAAAAAGTTTTCAATAATTACTTCCACTAAATTATACCCTTAAAAATAGTTAAAGTGGCATATTTAGTGTTATATATTTCATCACAATAAAAAATAACTAAACTGTCTTGTCAACCCTCCACTTAATTTTCCAGCTTTTTCTCATCCCCATCCTTTGAGTCCAGTGACCTAATGTTGCCTATTTCTCTCTCAATTGATTGAAACCTTTTTTTCTCCATATTGTACACTTGACAATCCCTGTGGGGGAGGAAGCACCAACAAGCACTGTATGCTGGCCAAGTACCACCATGTCGACAGACACTGCTGATGTAGGACATAGGACATTAGGGGAAAAAAGAAAAAAAACTTTAAAATAAGCATAGAAGGGGCACCTAGGTGGCTCAGTCAGTTAAGCATATGACTTCAGCTCAGGTCATGATCTCACTGTTGGTGGGTTCGAGCCCCGCATCGGGCTCTGTGCTGACAGCTAGCTCAGAGCCTGGAGCCTGCTTCATATTCTGTGTTTCCCTCTCTCTCTGACCTTCCCCTGCTCGTGCTCTGTCTCTCTCTCAAAAATAAATTTAAAAATATTAAAAATAAATAAAATAAAATGAGCACTGAAACATTTTTTGTATTGTAAATATGTATGTATAAAAAGTACACTGAATAAAAGTTCAAGAAAGCACGGGTAAACCTTATTTAATAGCTCTAGAAACTTATGCAGGGAGATGAGCTTTCATACTGGATCACCTACCTCAATGGTTTGGAGAACAAAGCTTTGGCATCTCAACTTCCTGAAGCAGACTGTCCCCAAAATATTAGGCCACAAAGACTGAGTCTCTTTAAAAGCTGTAGACACTTAACCCAACTGAGCCACACAGGTGTCCCCAGAATTTTGTTTTATGAAGTGAGAGCTTAGAACAGAATAGCTCCCCTTTCTCTGTTTTATCCCACAAGTCTGCCAACATGTCAAGGGAAAGGGGAACTCTAATTGCTTTTTTGTTTTAGAGACTTGGACACATTTTTATATACATTTGTAAAAAATCAGATTTCGGGGGCACCTGGGTGCCTCAGTCTGTTGAGCGTCCAACTTTTGATTTCAGCTCGGGTCATGATCTCAGAGTTGTGGGATCAAGCCCTGTGTCAGGCTCCATGCTGAGTGTGGAGACTGCTTAAGATTCTCTCTCTCTCTCCCCTGCCCCTCTCCCCACATCATGTGTATGCTCCCTCTCTCTCTCTCTCTCTCTGTCTCAAATAAAAAAAAAAATAGGGGCACCTAGGTAGCTCAGTCAGTTTAAGGACCCAACTTCAACTCAGATCATGATCTCATGGTCTGTGGGTTCGAGCCTGGCATCGAGCTCTGTGCTGACAGCTTAGAGCCTGGAACCTACTTCATATTGTGTCTCCCTCTCTCTTTGCCCCTCCTCTGCTTGTGCTCTGTCTCTCTCAAAAATCAAAAACATTTAAAAAAAATTTTAATAAATAAAATTTTAAAAAGTTAAGTCAGATTTTTAAAATCTACTTACCATAAAACCACGTACAATACTGGTTAAGAGTTCAGACCTTGGTGTCCTCCTATGTTCAATATTGTCTCTGCCGTAGTGTGTACCTTGGACAAGTGTGCCTTCCACTCCTCTGAGCACTGATCTTCTCATCTGCAATGTGAAAGGTAACAACACCTACCTCAGAGGATAATGATGGGGCCTATATGAAGGAAGCTATGAGAAATATCTCACACGGTGCTCAAAGACTAGGTGCTCAAAAGGTTAGCTCCTTAGGTACTTTATTCATTGTAGAGCGTCCATGAATGCCCACAGGCCTCCTCCATGAAATTTTCCCCAATGAAAAGCCCAAAATTTCTCCTTTCTCTACATTCCTAAAATATTTCATGAAAATACACTTGATGCTGTAGCCATTTTATACGTACACAAACTTTAATTTTTAATTTTTTAATGTTTTTTATTTATTTCTGAGAGAGCGAGAGAGAGACAGAGTGAGCAGGAGAGGGTCAGAGAGAGAGGGAGACACAGAATCTGAAACAGGCTCCAGGCTCTGAGCAAGCTGTCAGCACAGAGCCCGGCGCGGGGCTCGAACCCATGAACTGTGAGATCATGACCTGAGCTGAAGTCAGACGCTTAACCGACTGAGCCACCCAGGCACCGCCACAAACCTTGATCAAATAAACTAGAAGTCCTTTGAGAGAAGGCAGCAATGCTGTGCGCTCTTGGCATCCTTAGAGCCTGATGGAATGGGCCCTGAAGAAACACTTGTTAAACTGAATGGCTGAGAAGCAGTTTGGGACCCTGCAAAAAGCACTGGACTTGTTGCCATAAGATTTGGGTTCTAGTCCCAGTTTTCATAAGTGCAAGTTTGGTGACACTGGACAAGAAATTTGAAGGCGACTCTGATAATCAGTTTCTACATAGGTGTAAGAGGGAGGCTCAACTGCAAGGAGTGGAACATTTGTGTCCCCTGCCTCCACATTCATATGTTGACATCTTAACCCCCAGTATGAAGGTATTAGAAGGGGAGACTTCAGGGAGATGATCAGCTCACCAGGGTGGATCCCTGTTTCTGCCATGTGTGCACACAGTGAGAAGCCTGCTACCCAGAAGAGGGTGCTCATTGGAACCTGACCATGCTGGCACCCTGATCCCAGACTTTCAGCCTCCAGAACTGAGAAATAAAAATTTCTACTGTTTATAAGCCACCCAAGCTGCGGTACTTTGTTATAGCTGCCCAGTCTAAGATGCTAATCTACTCTCAAGACAGAATTGCACTGACATTCAAATGTGACCTCGTACATTCTGGAAGCGCTGAAAACATAATGCTATCTGGGTTTCTACCCTGTTGTCCTGAATCTACATAAGCAACCAAAGTCTCCTACTGCTGTCTTTATTCTAGCCTGCTGACAAATGCCCTTTGGTTCTGAACTAGAAAGGGGCAGAAGAAATGGCAAAAACACACACAAAAACTTGTTGGGTGTTGATCTTTTACAGTGGGGCTGTTGTCAACCAATTAACAAGTTACACCTGAAGTTAAAGCCCATTTGTGTTCTGCAAGGATTAGGAGATTGATAGACTTTTAATGGTAAACTCAAAACTCCCATTAGCAATAATGCAAGCTATGCCTGCTAGGCCCATGGAGAGGGGAGAGATGAATGTGATCCATAATCTATCTTACTTAATGTCATCAGTTTCCCTATAGCCCCTTCAAACAATCAGACGCCAGTAAAATGCCCTAAGTGGAACTAATAGCATTGATTTGGAGAATACTGATGGTCTACTTCAATGAAGCTTTTCAACATGAGAAGCCTACAGATATTTTAAAATCTTGATGTACCTGTGCACATTTATTTTTGTTGATTGAAAAAGAAAGGCGGGGCACCTGGGTGGCTCAGTCAGTTCAGTGTCCGACTCATGATTTGGTTCAGGTCAGGATCCCAAGGTCCTGGAATGGAGCCCTGCATCAGGATTCTCTCTCTCTTCCTCTACCCTTCCCCCACTCTTGTTCTCTCTCTCTCTCTCTTTCTCTCTCAAAAAAAGAAAGGCAATCCTGTAAGATGAGAAGGTAATAAAATAGAATAACATACATGAATATATCAGTTAAAACATTTTCCTTAAAACTTGGATATTTCTCTGCCTTTTAATTATGCAAAAATTGATTACATTTGTTGAGCCTTTTATAAATTAGAAAATCTTTCACATTGCTTTTGGTTTATAAGAAATGAATAACCAAAAGGAAAGGGACATTGAGCTTTTTTATTTCCTTCAAAATTCACTCAAGGCACCCTTTGAATAGTCATGCAATATGATGCTTAGTTAGAATTTTCCAATTATAGAAGCACAGATACCATTTTTCACTTATTCTTACACTACATCCATTCAGTTATCAATTCTTGTCACAACTTCCTATAAATATCCTTTCCTTCTAGTGCCATCACACTCACTCTCCCTTTGGCTCCTTTAAAACAGACCCAGACCCAGTAAATTCCTGGTGTTCTTCTTTCTTTAAATGGGTGATGGGCAAGGAGGAGGGCACTTGTTGGGATGAGCACTGGGTGTTATATGGAAACCAACTTGACAATAAACTATAAAAAAAAGTCTCTTGATAATTCAATCCATCTCACATTCTATACCGCACAGGATGTAAAAAATCTTTGAGGGCAGGGACTGTGCCCTACATTTCCTTATATTGTACGTATAGTGACCGTATTCACTGAACAACAAAATGTACATGTACATTTACAAAGAAATACATGTGTACATTTATAAAGAAAAATAAAAAGAAATCTCAAATTGGACTTATCTCTCCAACTTTGTGAATATTGTATCTAACACATGCATCCTAGCAAAATGTGTTCTACATTGTATATATAAAACACATGGGTTGATGGCTTAGCCTATTTAGAACAGAGATTATAAGCTAATAGACTGAGGCCCATATATGGCCCTTGGTAATTTTTTTTTTTTTTGTATAGCACTTTAAAAACGAGTAAGTTTAAATTGATTGCCAACATTTTAAAATTGCTGATTTCACATAAAAATCAAGCTACTCTTGAGAAATCTGAAGATCTAAGAAGACTGGGTTGTTAGAAATCAGCTTGAGCTAAAGTCCACCCCAAATGGGGAAATCTAATAAAACTGGAAACCCAAGGAAGGCCAGTATAATGATGAACAGGTTAGACAGCCGCTGTACAGGAAAAGACAACAAGGAAACGTGCCTGTCTGGACCGTGGAGGAGATATCTACATCCATCCCTGTCTCTATCTCCTCCTCCAAGTGCCAAGGTTATTGTGATTATAAATTACCAAAAAATAAATATTTATATATATTTTTTAATTTTTAGTTTTGTTTTTATGCAATAAAAGGATGTCACTTGGTAGAACTGCATTACTCTTGGGGTGCCTGGGTGGCTCAGTTGGTTAAGCATCTGACTCTTGGTTTTGGCTCAGGTCATGATCTCGCAGTTCATGAGTTCAAGCCCCACCATTGGGCTCCACGCTGTGCAGAGCCTGCTTGGGATTCTCTCTCTCTCCTTCTCCCTGCCCCTCCCCTGCTTGTGCTCTCTCTCTCTCTCTGTCTCTCTCTCTCTCATAATAAATAACATTAAAAAAAAAAAAGAACTGTATTATTCTTGGTGGAACACAGTTTCAAATGTTTGTCTAAAATAGTTTGAGAAACAGAATATTCCAACTGATTAAACACTGATTAATTCTGCGTTGCCACACATTCTAAATAGGTTATAAATTTTCAAAGAATTAGAATATGAGACAATAAAAAAATTATATTAAGCATAACCTTTTAAAAATGGTACCATCTTTTAAACCATCACTTGTCTTTGATGAATCAGAAATATATTTCCTACTGCTTTCCTATTCATCATAAGCATCAGTTTTATTAGCAAATAGGCCTCTCACCCTCCTGCCAGCTGAACTGTGCCTTTCTTAGAATGCCCCCAGCCCTATGCTTGTGCCCTTCTCTCTGGCTCCATATGTAGCCTTGTAGTCATTTTGTAAGTCTATTTCCTTCATTGGATTAGGTTTCTATATGGCACAAACATTATGTTTGTAACCTACACAGTGAGCATACAATACACATTTTCATATTTCAAACTAATTTCCCCCCAGAACGGTGAGGGGTTAAAACAAATATCTGTAGCGAATAGAACTGATGTTTTGTTTCAAGTAAAGCAAAAAATAAATAAAAACTTAACAGCTATCTAATCTTTGATGAGAAATTTACTGAATGCTTACTTTGTGGCAAATACCATGCTAAGTGCTCATAAATTAGTTCTCAGAAACAATCAGTGAGATATATGGTACTTGATTTACAGAGAGAAAACTGGCAATTAGGAATTAAATCATGAATTCAAATATTTGCTGAGCACCTAGCATATGGTGCCCTGAACTAGCACTGGAGACATGGCAGAGAACAGACTCTCCGCCTTTTGTGGAACTTGCCCAGGTCACAAACATAATATATCAGCATTCTACGTTTAGATATTGCTTTATGCATATTATAAGCCTGGACAATGTGAGTGCATCTCTGAAATGGGTCCATTCTCAGTACTGGCAAAATTTGAGACTGAGGAGCAGAGGCTCACACCCTGATGACCTCTTCAAGGTAAACCTAACCCTGCAAGGTCACTCCGCCATTGCTGGCAGCATTCAAATCGTGAGAATCTGATCTCTAAACTTACAATATTCTCGAGAGAAAATATTCTCAAGAGAAGATTTATAAATAATACAAGGCATCAGATAGAAATAAGATACGATGGGATTAAAGAATTAAAACAGAGTTAAGAATGCACCTTTTTCAGTCAGATATTTTTCTGTCTTGCATGTAAAACCTCAGTGAAGAGGAGGGTGAAGCCACAGTAGAAAAGAAGTCAAAGCACAGACCAGACTTTGGTCTCTCGGTCTCTAAGTGGGATGGGAAGGTCTAAGGGAAGGATGCGACTTCCAGGCACCATCACAATTCATGCTGTAACCCTGGAACCCCTAGCTGCTATGCCATTTTGAATTTTACTTGCCTCTCTGGAGCTAGACACACGAGGAGCCACCTCATTCAAAAATGCGAAAAGAAAAACTGAGCAGTTTCAGGAGCAAATTTTCAGATTTGCAGTTCAAATTGCAAAAAGAAAAAAGGAGCAGTTTCAAGAGCAAATTTTCAAATTTGCATCAGACACTTCCTGTCATACACTGAAGTTGCTGGGATTGACTCCCAGAGCACTAGGCCAGTGCGATTTAATCATTAAACTTCAAGGTTTTCATAACTAATCTCCAATGCTCTGGGGCATCTTGAGGGAAAGTTTCATTCCAAAAAAAAGCAAAAACAAAAACCTGAAGTTGAATTCAGAAAGCAAACAAGAGAAATTATTTTAGAAGCTACTCTCTAATTCTGAGTGGGTAGAAAATTGTCTTTCATTCTAATTTAAAGTAACGTAGAACAATTTTCTCATCTACTGCAATATTATCTAGGAAATCTGAGGCAAAAGTCACCGGTCTATTTTTAAATGAAATGACTTGCAAACCGAGAGACTGACCACAGCTCTGTATCCCTTGAAATGTATGCAAAGTGCCTAGGGAAGGAAGACCAACTCAACACTCAACACACACAACATACACAACAGTACCTATCTGACATTAGAAATCTTTTATTGAGATTAGGCAAATAGTAAGCTGAAAATATTACAGCATGGAGAAAGGCTGAGGAAACCAATGTAATTTCTTTTTCCTCTATGGTGGCCCAAATGACTAACTAAAGACACTCCAAGATTACTATATTATACTATATATTACTTTTGGATTTGCTTTCTTGATAGGAAACTGAAATAATCTCTGGGCATGTATCAGTATCCAGGCCATTCGCTTTAAAGTAGAAAGAAGAACGTTATTCATGACTAAATTTACTAATGATTACTATAGTACATTCTTTAGTGTGACAGACATGGTAGTTACTACTGCTGAATGTGGTTGATTCTCCACAGTTTGGATTTCAGTATTCTTTAGGGATAGATACTTCTTTTGCAAATTTTCCTATCATGTTTTTTTTCTCTCCCCAGGAATGATTTCAAAGGTCTACTGAAGACAGTGCCCTTCAGTAGGTTAAGTGGTGAGATCCAATTTCATCATAAATGAAGTCTGAATAAGGTCGGAACTTTCTTAACATGACATAATAGGCTATTTTTTTTTTTTTTTTGCATTATCTTACTACTCTCCTTCCCAAGTCTAGGCTTAGTACAAGCACACAAGACAACTCACAGTCTTGCCAAATATACAAACACATGTTTGTTTTTAGGCCACCATGTTTTTGCACAGAAAACTCTCCTTGATCCTTTTTTTGTTCTTCTTTTCTTTTTTCACTGCTCCTCACTAACTTCCTTTCACATAAAATCCCTTCATCTCAAAAAAATCAACTGGCCTTTATGACCCTCTTCAAACTGGTCATCTGACTACCCAAAGCTTTCTCTAACATTTATGGCACCTGTGCTGTCTGTATCCAGCCGTGTCTGGTATATGATGGGTGTTCAATAAATTCTTGGTGAATAAATGGTACAGAAAGTCTGGGAAAACACTGGCGTGGATGTTACGGTATCAAGCTTGAAAGGTCACTGTAGGGCAGTCTTTATCCCTGGATCTAGAAATACCGTATCTAAAAATTTTATCTATATAAATAATTGAGAATGTGTGCAAAGATTGAGTTACAAGCCTCACACTTCATTGCTATTTCAATAGCAAAATCCTGACACAATTTTAATCCTTCATCTGGACCTTAGCTAAATGAATGCACAATGGAATACTAAATACCCCTTTAAAAAATATGTGGAAAAAAACATAAGGAAAATATTTAGTGTCATGTCGTGATATTTTATTCGAGGAAAAAAGGCTGTTCAAGGAAAAAAGCAGCGCATGCAGTCTGCTTATGTTTAATGCTATAAATCAAATTATCAACAGTGGTTTCCCAGGTGTCAGATTTCAATTTTTTATCTTCTTTCTGTTTCTGAAAGAAATCTAACTTCTGTACAATGAGTACTAATTATTTCTGTGATTAAAAAATGGATTTTGTTTTCAAAGGAGAGAGTCCTCCGCTTTCACGATCGGGCTTCCCTTTGGAGCTGCACCTCCACTGGGGGGCTGTTCCTGTTCCAGCCATCCCAGGGCGCCCAAGGGTGAGGGCTGCCCAGGTAGCTCAGCCTCATTTCACAAAGTCGAGGCTTGGGAGGGAAAACGAGCTGCTCCAGTGAGCAGTGATTTTAAAACCCAAAAAGTTCCCAAGATGTGGCCATGTTAGAAAACTTGCATTAGTATGTTTCACTTTCCAAGATAAATTCCTCTCAAAATTCTGCGCTGACCCTGAAATGATCTGCCATGAAGGAGGGTGTCCCACCGAGGAGAAAATTCCCACGCCAGCATGTTCCTTCCTACCTTGATCTACATTTACTTGGACATTACTTCCGGACCCCACCCACCCACACACACACACACTTTATCTTTTACTGGGCTGCAGCTATTCCAAAAGGGACCGAGACACACACACACACACACACACTTTATCTTTTACTGGGCTGCAGCTATTCCAAAAGGGACCGACACACACACACACACACACACACACACACTTTATCTTTTACTGGGCTGCAGCTATTCCAAAAGGGGCCGAGCCCCAGACGGCAAAAGTGGCCAAGGCCTGCAGGGCTGACTTCACGCCTGAGGTTGCTAGGTCCCTCTCTAGGGGGTGGGGGGAGCCGCTAAAAACCCGGTGACTTAGCTTCCTCCTCCTTCCCGGAGGTCCCCGCCCACATCACCGTCATCAGGTCTCCGAGGAAGTCACGTTCTAGCTTTGGAGTCCTTCTGAAGCTTTTGGGAGGAAAAGGTGGGTGGGGTGCCCAAAGCCCTTGCACCTTCCCAAGAGACAGGGCTCCTAGCTCACCATCTATCCCTAATTAGATGGAGATGGGGGGAGGGGTAAGTGATTTTCCCACTGAGTGCCTTATATCTTTCATCTGTCAGAGAGGGTGTTGACCTAAAAGGGCTGCGACCTAGAAGGGCGAGTGCCCAGATATCCCCAGGAGCGCCGCAAAAAGAAGAGACCATGGACACGTATTGAAGATCCCCGAGGTGCTAGTACTCCCATAAACACTGTCTTACTTCTCTAACAAACCCCTTACGTTTGGTGTCCCTGATCCCAAGATACGGTTTGAAACTAGAGGTAGAAGGTCTGGGAAATGCTTTCCAACCTCGTCCACTCCGAGATACACAGGGACAAAAAAACATTTTTATGGCACACGGGGGCAAATGAGTGAGCACCAACCAGAAGCCAACTGCCCCCGCTGCCCCCGTACAGAGGGGCTCCGTCTCTCAATTTACCTGTCCCACCTGTTACCTGTCTGCGGCTCACTGGAATGAAAGCCTGGAAGAGACTGACCCAAGACAAGTATGACCTAGCTGTGTCCAGATAAACCCGGATTTGCTTCGCAGCCCTTCCTTCTGTGACTTCAAGCACGTAACTGGATAGTTTTTGGACCCGTCTCCTCACCTCTAACGCTAATAATAGTACGCACGTCACCGGGCCAGTGACGACGGGTCAACAGGACCAAAGGTTGATCGGCGATCCTGCGCCCGGGGAGCGCGTCCCGCCGGGGCTCCCCGGGTTACCCCCGCGCGCAGGCCTGGGCGGGCGCTGGGCGGCGCGGGGGCGGCCGGGCGGCGCCGGCGGCCCGGGAGGTTCCGGGCTTCCGCGCAGACTTCTGCGTACCCGGACGGCTGCGTCACCCAGCCCGAAAGCGCGAGCCGGCCGGCGGGGGTGGGGGGCGGCGCCGCTGGAAGCCCCGGTGCTCTAACCGAAAGTGCGAGCCCGGACTTCCCGGCCGCGGCCGCAGGGGGGAGCCGCGGCCGCCGTTCCCGCTCTCCCGCCCGCCCCCCTCGGCCGGCGGCCCTGAGTGGAGTCCGGGGGAGCGCGCGGGGTCGGTCCCTGCCGCGGAGAGGGGACGGCCCCCAAGCGCTCCTCTCCTCCGCGCCCCGCGGCGCAGCGAGGCTTTCTTGGCCGGGATTCGGGGCCGTCCGGATCGCCGCCGTCCTGGCCGCGCCGTCGCGCCTCGAGGTCCCCCAGGGAGGAAAAGAGCTGGCACTGTGGCAGCCTCCCCCGCGTCTTTCCACCCAGGCCGGCAGCCCGGCTCGCCTCGTTGCACAATTCCTGCCGTGGAGTCGCCGCGTGACTCGGACGGAGCCCAAAAATGTTTCCCAGGTTTCCCCGCCGAGAAAGGAGCGACTGGGTAACCCACTCTGCGCCCGGGCGCCCTTGCAGAGCCTGCCCTTTCGGAAGGAAGAAAAGCTCACCAGCTCGCTGGCACATCCGCTTTAGGTTGCATGCAACTTACACGTTTCTTGTCCCCACGTGTGTTTTCAGACAGAAACGGTGTTTCGACCTACTGGGGGGTGGGGGGTAGAGAATTCAGGAACTGGTTTTAAATGATGAGTGATGTTTAAAGGTTTGAAGACGCAATTTTAAGCTCTCCTATAATTGGTGTTATTAGCATTAATGGCGCATAGTAGGTACTGAATAGAGAGCGAATGAATGAACAATTGAAGGAGGGATTTAAATAGCTGTGTGTAGACCAATGCTTTTATTTTGCAGATGAGGAAATTCAGAGGTTAAGTGACTTGCCCAGGGTCACCTAGCTAATTCATTTGGACGTCAGGAATAGACGTATTTCAACTCCTTTCAACTCGAAATACTTCGTAATTATGAGATGGGTATATTTTCCCCTCTATATGAAAATAAAATGCCTTCTGCAGTAACCTCTTCAAATCCTTACTTGATGCCCTCTTCCCGCCCATCTAAAACAAACAAAACAAAAACAAGCAACTCCCAAACACAATACATGCATGAAATAGGCTAAATTGGGCAATGCCAAAGCGAGATGTTTGCAGGGCATTTTCTGTCTTATCCCCATGTTAATCACAAAATAGGCAAGAAAAAGAAGAAGGAGAAGGAGAAGAAAGCAGCAGCAGAAGAAGAAAGGAAGAAAGGAAAAGAAAAAAAAGAATATTGCTTCTTCAAAATGGTATGGAAGGGGCCACTGGGTGGCTCAGTCCATTGATCCTCCATCTTCAGTTCCGATCATGACGTCAGGGTTCATGAGTTCCAGACCGGCATTGGGCTCTCTCGCTGTCTGGCAGAGCTGGCTTGGGATCCTCTGGCACCCACTGCCCCCTCCCTGCCTCATCCCTCCTCTGCTTGTGGTCTTTCTCTCAAAAAAACAAAACAACAACAAAAACAAAAATGAAACCAAAAACTAAAAAAAAAAAAAAAAAAATTAAAAGAATTGTATGGAAGATACCATTTGCCACTAACCATGCTGTTGTAAGTACAGTGTTCGGTGTTTTGCATAGGAACCGCTAGACTCATAAGTAACTGTCAGGGTTGCTCTGGCTGGTCACATATTTTGCTCAGGCTCAGAATAGATGTGTAGCTCATCTTCCAGAACAGACAAGCTGCAATCTGTGAGAACACCAGGGACTTCAATGGTAGTCATGCAGATGGCTGGACAGCTTGTTGTCTTTGAAGTTTCAAGGCTGACCAACTGTACCAAATGTCTAATTTAGGGAACAGAATTACCAAACAAGTAGATGTTAAGATCAAAGGAATCAAAACTATAAGTGGCAATCATGAAAAACTCCATTCTTTTGTGGGTTGCCAACAATGGTTCCACAATGATGATTATGATACAGTTACAACAATACAACCCAAGCACAAATTCTTCTCCAAGAAGATAGAAGAGCAAATTATGAAATGTCTCATTTTTTAGGCCAGCCAGATACACTCTGAACTAGGGCAATCTTTTATTATTATTATTATTATTATTATTATTATTAAAGTTTATTAGAGAGAGAGAGAAGAGAGAACATGTCGGGGAGGGGCAGAGAGCGAGCATGGGAGAGAGAATCCCAAGCAGGTTCCATGATGTCAGTGCAGAGCCTGATACAGGACTGGATTTCACAACCCGTGAGATCATGAGCTGAGCCAAAATCAAGGGTTGGACGCTCAACCGAGCCATGCAGGTGCCCCTGGGGTAATTTTTTTTTTTTCTTTTTAACTCTGCTGTCTTTACCCCTTCTCTACGTCTGATATCTTGAAGGTGAGAACAAATACAAAATTGCTAGAAATTTTTGAAATTCTAGGCAGCTAAGGTAGAATATATTAATTCTGGTTTGATAGTCCTACACAATGTTCATGAAATCAAAGCATCACCTCCTATATTCTCACATATTGCAGTTTCCAGTTTGCCATTATACCAGGCTACTGAACCTGAACTTTAGAAACACAAAGTGCTGGCCCCTATTATTACACTACTTTGCTGCTTGAGAAAGGGCATCTGATCAAAAGTCATCTTTACCAAGTGAGATCTTAAGAATGACAACTTATTTGGATGCAGGTGATACTTTTAAAATATGTTACATATTTCTTTCAACACCGTTGTGTAATTCATATCGAATTTTTGTGAAGAAAATACCTCAGACTATTACAATTGTCATTAACATTGATTAGTTTAACTATAAGATATTTATCAGTCATGGTGTAGCATTTTGGAATTTGGGGGATCATTAGAAAAAAACTATACACCTTTATTTTAAAGATGAGAAATTAAACAATATATTGAGTTCCTGACACAGTCAAAACTAGAACTGAGTATTCCGATTTGCCTTGTGTTTTACAAAATCATCTTAATAGCCTTCATTTCATGAGTATGTGGTTTTGTATAAGGCATGGTGTTTGGAACTGGTGGTATGAAAAGGTATAAGGAGCTCCCAAAGGTTTTATAGTCTAATTGGTGACATAGGCCAATGTTTCTCAAACTTTAATGTCCATAGGAATCACCTAGCAATTTTACTAAAATACAGTTTCTGATTGATTGGTTCTGGGATGGGACCTACTTTGCTACAAACATGCTCCAAGGAGATGCCACTTCTGCTGGTCCACAGATTATGCTTTGAGTTAGCAAAGTGTAGGACATATAAATATGAAGAGAATTAACAGTCTAGCAACATAAGAGAAACAAAGAGAATAATAAAATCTTCTTAGCCGATCTGAAATGGATGTTCCAAAGCTGATGCTCCTTACTTCGAGGAATGTCCCTCAGACATTCAGAGCATATTTCCTCTTACCAAACAGTAACCTATTTATGTCTCTGGGAGCACAGCATATTAGAAATAAAGCAATAGTGGGGCAAGGAGAGAGAAAGGAGAAAAATGATGGCAAGAAATAAAATCAAAGGAAGAGACAAAGACACCATAAAATTTGTTTTGGAAAAATGTGGACTCATGGCAGCCAAGATATCAATACTTCTGAAGAGTGTCAATAAAATGTAGTGTTGTATAATAGATTTGGAGCCAAGAAGTCTTTTTTTTTTTTTTTAATGTTTATTTAGTTTTGAGAGAGAGAGAGAGCAGAGGAGGGGCAGAGAGAGCAAGAGATAGAGGATCTCAAGCAGGCTCTGAGCTAATAGCAGAGAGCTCCATGCTAGGCTTGAACTCACAAACCTTAAGATCATGACCTGAGCCGAAGTTGGATGCTTAACTGACCGAACCATCCAGGTACCCCTAGAAATCTTAATTCAAGTTCTGTTGGGCCATTTAGTAATTATGTGATCTTTAGGCATATATGTAACCTGTTTAGCTTCAGTTTCCTTATCAGGAAAAAGAAAAGAGATAGTACTTCCAATCTCCCTGAGTTGAATAATTAAATACTGAAACATTTCATGGGGCACTTCATGGTGGCTCACATCTGACTTTGGCTAGGGTCATGATATCCCAGTTCATGGGTTCAAGCCCCGCATCAGGCTCTGTGCTGACAGCTCAGAGTCTGGAGCCTGCTTCGGATTCTGTGTCTCCCTCTCTCTCTCTGTCCCTCCCCGACTTGCTCTCTCTCTCTCTCTTTCTCTCTCTCTTTCTCTCTCAAGAATAAATAAACCTTAAAAAAAATTAAAGCACTTTACACAAACATGTTGAAGAATGTACAAAGCTTCACAATGTAGTTTAGGTTTAGAAACTCAGCAATTGTACTAAAAGCAATGCTGTAACAAATAATTCCAACCTTACACAAAGTATTTCAGAGAATAGAAAAAGTAGGTACCCTCTGTGACTAATTTTGTGAGGCTGTTATAACTGAGCAGCAATAACCTGATTACGATACTGCATACAAGAAAGGAAAAGAAAAGGCCCACAATCATTCATTAGCATGACTACTAAAATGCATAGCCAAGTTTGATTTTTCTCAGAAAGGAAGGTTGGTTTAACATTACAAAATCAATTAATGTAATTAATGTGATTAATAGATTCGAGGAGAAAAAACATATGACCTTCTCAATTTCAGGAGGAAAAAAAGCCTACATCAAACATGTTTAATGATGAAATGCTGAAAGTATTCCATTAGAGGTTAGAAACAAAACAGGATTGCCTGACATAACCACTCCTATTTAACATTA